ATCATCACCATAAGTTTCTTTCATTTCATCCAAAGTCTCCTTTGGTGTGCGTCCTTTTGAATACAAAAACTGGATCACTTCGCGACACTCAACTGGCTCCATTTCACACCTAACTCAGTTCAAACACTGTAAATCAGAAACCACAATTAGTTGAGAGCTGTTATTGCAACATAACCCATAGAGATGTGAATCATTACACATGCAACATTTCATCTAGATCAGACAACTGGGGCATTACTTATTGAACGCCCCTCCTACGATAAATACAATAACACGCATTGATCAAAATATGGAGAAGTTAGTATCAGAAAATATAACTATTAACAGCAGAGTGCAGTTGAGAGTGATGTAACGAAGAACAAGAGGAATTTGGAGGAGCATCAACAAGAAATTGCGCTGTCGTTTGAGAATGTGAATAAGAAGGTCAATGAACTTATGACACGTGTTACTAAACTGGAGAATGAGAATCAAGTTTTGAAAAAAAAACAGCTACGTGAATCAAGTGAGAAACAAAAGAATCAAGAAAGGTATTCGCGTGAATATAACTTGCGGTCCCACGGTATACAGGAAGGTGACAACGAGAAGTGTGTTGAAGTTATTGAGAAAATACTAGTGGATAAATTTGGTATGCAAAGGGGTTTACCCACCGGGTAAATATTGATGAAATACCTAAAACAGAGAACCGGCCATACCCAAGACAAGTATTGGTGAAGTTCTTCAGTCGTCTAAAGAAAGAAAAAATTGTACGAAAACAAAAAATTGCGTTAAAGGAATCCGATACAGGAATATATGTAAAACTGGATATGATTATTGAATTAAAGGAAACATTGAACGCTGTTATTAAACGTGCCTACGATGATGGGAAACGACCTATTTTTCGAAGGGGTGTTTTGTACATCGATGGAAAGCAGTATTCGCCTAAAAAAAGATGATGTGGCGTAATGTAAAGAAGAAGAACAGCCAAACAAGTATAGATCCGACACGGGGTAAGAAAAAAAACTGTTGAGTTTTATTGAATTATGTATGTATTTATATATGATTTATTTATCAATTGTTATGGTCTTTTTTTATGTTGTACCAGACTGGCAATATAACTTTTTGCTTTATCACTGAATAAGTGGTAATTACTATACAGTTTTTTTCTCATGTTGGATGTATCATTAAATGTAAGATTTTATTTGGTATCATAATTCTAGTTGAGGTTATTCAAACAATAATATGGTGCTGAGTGTGTTATTGGGGATGTGAATTATGATTCACGGAGATGCAGCATTATTGCATTATTACATATATTGTCAGTAATATTTTTTCTCCTTTTTCTATTTCTTTTTTTTTTGGTATAAATTATTATGATTTCGTTCAAAATTTTAAGTTTGAATGTTAGGGGGGATGAGATATTCTTATAGTAAACGAAAAGCTGTTTTTAGTTTTTTTTAGACAACAAAGGGGTGACATTATTTTGGTTCAAGAAACTCATAGTTGTTCTAATTCGGAGAGTGTGTGGAAAAGGGAGTTGGGGGTCCGTGTCATTTGCTGAATAATGATGGGAGGTATATTTTTGTTGAAGTGGAAAAATAAGGAAAAAGAACAAATTGAATTCTTAACCACTGTAAGAGGTTTAGGTGATTATAACTTTCCAAACTGTAATTTGATAATTTGAGCAGTCATGTTTGTGGACTTCTCTGAAGCTTATGGTACTGTCGCATACGACTTAATTACCACTTCCGTGTCACTGAGAATGTTCTAGAACCGTACTGTGTCTGGGTGGAATATTCTAGATTTTTTTTTAGAAAATGGTTGAATAGGTAATAGAACACATTCATTATGTATGCTGATGTAATGGTCTATTTATAGACAGTGTGGGTATATATAGGGGAGTTGTTCAGCACTGAGATCAGATCGCAGATCTCGTTGAATTGTATTGGAGTTTAAGTATCTAGTTATTGGAGT